TGGTTTTTTGAGACAGGGTCTCACTATGTAGTTGAGACTGACCTGGAACTCACTATGTAGTCCAGGCTGGTCTTGAACTCACAGTGATCCTCCTGCCTCAGCCTCCAAGTGCTGGGATTACAGGCATGCGCCACCACACCCAGCCTTCCTGCAGCTCTTTATAGATGTTTTCTCCCTCAGCAAGGGCAGAGCAGGTCTTTGGGTGCTAAAACAGGGCTGGAGAGCTTGAAGGGTCCACAATAAGGAGCCTGTGCCAGGGTGATAGCCCTTACACCTCGTAAAATTGAGTTTGTGTTTTTGAGACAAGGTCTCACTATGGAGCCCAGGCTGTCTTCAAACTAGAAGCTATCCTCCTGCCTCAGCCTCCGAATGCTGGGATTACAGCATGCACCACCACACCTGGCAACCATTTTTAAGCATGCAGCTTGGTAGTAGCACTACATTCATTCACATTGTGCAACCCACCTCCAGCATTCCTCATTTTGCAAAACTGAATTTCCTCACCCTTTAAACATGAAAGAATCTTTTTTAGTTGATAAGATCCTATCTTCAGTGTAAGTTTGAGGTGTATCTTAAAATTCGGCCAGGAGTGGCCGCTCAGTGGAGACCACTGAGGTCCCCAGGGAGATCCCTAATGGGATGGCACCCAAATCACCTATAATAGTATTTGATTTGCATACTTTTTGTGCACATTTGAAAGCTTTCTCAATAAAAAGGAAGTGTGGGTATGTATGTGTGGTGCTGGGATTGAACCCAGGGTCTTCACACTGTGAAATATCCCCTTTATTTTTTCACTTTGAGACAAGGTCGCTCTAAATTGTGAAGTTGCCATTCCAGGCTGGTCTGGAACTCGTCTGCTTGACTCAGCCTCCCAGAGCACTGGGATTACAGGCCTGTATCACCACACCCAGCTAATAGTTTTAAAATTGTTTCCAGTTCATCAAAGGAAAGACCAACTCCAAATGCCTTCAGTAGGCCTTGTCATGTTTCATTTTGGTTTGGCTGCTGCTCTCATTTGTAGGGTGCTGCTGTCTGCCAACATTCAGGCCTTAGCCCAGGTAGTGTCACCTCTACCTGCACCTAACCCTCTGACCCCAACCTGGCCTCCTGGGCCACCCTGCCTGAGTCCTCCCCTGTGGCCTGGTCACCTCAGCCTAGTATGGTTTGCTCCCTGCCACATGTCCTGCAGGGGCTGTGGCCAGGCTGCTCAGAATAAGAGGTGCCAAAGGGCAGGCCCCAGCCTAGCTCTGCCACTCCAGGCAACACCCTGGGAGGAGGCCAGGTTTCGGGCTGCCAGAGAGGCTCAGAGCCTTAGGCATCCTGGGAAGCAGACAGCCTGGTTTGAACTCAGGATCTGCCCAACACAGCAGGGTTCTTCATGAGTGACAGTTTCTTTCCATTGGGGGACCTCCTTGCAAATACTCCCGGAGCCACAGGGTGGGGTCAGGCCCTGGTTTTTGCCAGGCTGGGTGGATGGGCTCAGCAGGCCTTGTCCTGCAAGAGTCAAAGGAGTCAGCCTGGCTTTCCTCCTCTCGAAGACTGAGAGCAGGAGACAGGCTGGGGCTCTGCTGGGGGGTGGGGGTGCTAGGATACCCCTGCCCTGCTCTTCACCTGGTCCCTCTCCCACCTGCCACTTTCTTTGCATCTTTTAGAGTTGCATTTTGGTTTTCTCTCATTGCCAGAATGCATGGTTGTCCTTAGAAGGCACAGAGACCACCTCATCTAGACTCATTAAAGGGCATTCAGTTTCTGGAAAGCGGGTGATGGCGCCGGTGACAAGGCAGTAGGCAGCCATCAGAGCGGTTCAGTGAGAGCTCAGCTCAGAGGGAAGGTCACAGGAGGTGACAACTTATTGTGCTTGGGAGGGGAGTGGAAAGGGGAGGAGGAAGAAGACCTCACCGCGGGGTGGAAAGACAGATTGTGTGCCGTCAGCTGAGGGGCCAGTTTGGGGCGGATCCTGGGTTTAGGTTTAGGGTAGGGGATCTGCTGCCTGGGCCCCGGGGAGGTAGGGGCACGTCCACCTGAGGGAGGTGCAGGGCGGGGGAGGGCAGCCCCTGGCTTCCTGAGCTCGCGGGCAGAACCTGCCTGCCACAATGGCTCCTCTGATTCCCCCACCCCAGCTCCGACAATGTGCCATTCATCCGTCTCCCGGTGCCTGGCACCAGGGAGAGGGGGCTGATCCCGGCGGTGCAGCAGCCTATGTGGAAGCAATAGCGCATTCAGGAAGGCCAAGGGGCAGCTTCACTCTCGGAAGAGACCTAGGGAGGCGCTTCTTCCCATTTCCTTCTCCTGCGCAGAGAACTGGGAGGCGAAGGAATAGGTTGGGGGCAGATCCACGAGCTCCGAGGGCACCAGAGACCCGCTCAGCCCAGGAGCTCATCTGAGGCCGCCTTCCTCGCTGCGCTCTCCAGGGCTCCCTCTTTGGTTGCCAAGGAGATAGGAGGCGGTTGCCATGGAGACCGACGACTGCAAGGACCAGCCAATCACTCCGGAGCTGCGGCTCCAGCTCTTCTTTGGATGGAAGCATGGGGCTGGACGGGCCCCCGTGCCCTCTGCCTGGCCGATGAGGGGTGGGTGCGCCACCCCGTTCCCCAAGCATGCAGAGCCACCTCCTCGGGCCCCGCGCCCTGCACCCCGGTTCCGGCCTTGCCTCCGCCTCTTCCCGGCGAGGGGTGATGCTACCCAGGGAAAGGCCCAGCCGCGAAAGGCTCCAGCCCCTCCCTCGATAGGAGGAGGG